GACTTCTCCTTCATTTTTGAAGCTTAGTTTTACAAGATACAAAATTCCTGGCTGGAGGTTATTCTTTTTGAGAAGACTAAAAAGGGGACCCCAGTCTTTTCTGGGTTCTCAGGTCTCTGCTGAGAGGTCTGCTGTTAGTCTGATGGGTTTTCCTTTGTAACTTCTTGCCTTCATCTCATAGCTTGTAAATTTTCTCCTTCATTTTGACTTTATTTTTTTTCTTTTCATTTTTATTTTTTGAGACAGAGTCAAACTTTGTCGTGCTGGGTAAAGTGCTGTGGTGTCATAGTTGTCATTTCAAACTCCTAGGCTCACGCAATCCTCTTGCCTCAGCTTCCCAAGTAGCAGGGACTACCTGCCATGGTGCCTGGCCAGTTTTTCTACTTTTAGCAGAGATGGGGTTTCACTCATGCTCAGGCTGGTCTCAATCTCCTGAGCCTAAGCAATCCACCCACCTTAGCCTCCCAAAATACTAGGATTACAGGTGTGGGCCACTATGCCTGGCTCATTTTGACTTTAATCAGGCTGATGACTATTCTCTATCTGCTCTGAATGTTCCTAGAGTTCAATGACCATTCTTTTTTCTGGTCATCTGGACATCTAAAATACCAGGGAAGTTTCCCTCCATTGTTCTCTGAAATAGTTTCTTCATGCTTATTGCTTTTTCTTCTTCTCCATCAAGGATACTATTATTCTTACATTAGGTTGCTTTATATAATCACATATTTCTAACATTGATGGTTCATTGTACTTTGTTATTTTTTCTACATTTTTTAATTAACTGTGTTGCCTCAAAATTCTTTTCTTCAAGCTCTGTAATTCTTTCCTCTATTTGGTCTAGTGTGCTGCCAAAGCATTTTGCTGTATTTTGAAATTTCCCTAAATGAGTTTCATTTCTTTAAGTTCTATTATCCCTTTTCTAATATTACTTATCTCTTCAATTTTTTGTTCATGAGCTAAGTTATTATTGTTATTTTTTGGTTTGTTTGAAAGGGTTTTGTATCATCTCCCAATTTCATTCATCTTACTTGCCATCCATAATTTCAATTTTGTAACTATTCTTTCAACAATTTCCTTTTGGCTGGAGTCCATTGCTGAACACCTGATGTCGTCCTTGGTGGGTATCAAAGCAGTCTGTTTTCTCATGTTGCCAGAGTTTCTATGCTGGTTTCTTTTTTTCTCTTAGCCCCAAACAAATAACAGAATGGTACACTTGTTCTCCTCTGTGAGGACCTCTGTTGCTCAGTGAAGAGAGGCCTTCCTTGGATGACATGTTCTGGAAGCTTTAGTAGGCAGTAGAGGGTTGGATGCACCATGAACCTTCAATGATGCTCCTCTTCTGTGTCTCCCATTTCCCTATGATTGTCACTGGGCGACTGTGGGAGGGCTGGTCCTTGGTGCAAGGTGCACACACAAGGTGGGCCTGGCCAGCAAGACAGAATATGGGTGTGAGATGGAGAGGTTCTACTGGGCATGGTGCACACACATGCCGGCCTGGACCATCGATGTGTGAGATGTGTGAATGCAGCAAGGCAAGCATAAGGTGTGATGAATGTGCAGGGTACAGCAGGCATGCAGGGCATAGCGGGCCAAGGGCAAAGTAGGCCCATGGGGCAGAGTGGGCTCACAGAGTGGATGGGTCCCTGGTGTGGAGTGGTCTGTGAGTCATGGTGCATGTGTGGGTCACAGCTCATGCACGGGGCAGTGTAGGAACCCAGGATAGAGCAGGCTTGCAGGACAAAGTGTCTGTGCAGGATAAAGCAGGTCTGCTGGACATAGCACTCTCATACATGGGCTGGGGGGGGTCACAGTGCAGGGTCACAGGTGAGGCAGGGTAGGGGTAGTTGTCCCAGACCTGACCTCTGGGCAGAGGTAATGTTCCCAGTTTGAGGTGCCACAGTGACACCAGCCACAGTGCCCAGGGCTGGCAAACCCTTCTCAGAGCAACATAGTTGCATGTCCTCTGGTCCGTTCTCTTATCAGTATGATGCTTGCTGCAGAGGATGGGACCTCCTGCCATTCTAGTTGCAGTATCTTCAGGGAAAGTGTGGTGTCAGGGATTCTTTCCTCTGTCTCTTTCCCTAATTAACTCTGGTTCTGCTGAGCACTTTGTCCCACTTCTCTCTTCTTTATTTCCCTCCACCACTTCTCCATGAATTCTCACTGGTCTCAGACTCTCCACCCAAACACAGGTATCTTATTCACACTTTCCATTCTCTGCGTGATGGCGGCATTTTGCAGACTGCTTCTAGCCCACTGTCTCGGCCCTTCCCCCGTGGTGGCTAATTTTATGTGTCAACGCTACAGGGTCACTGGGTGCCCCGTCTGGGAGGGTGTTTGCAGAGGCGGTCAGCATTTGAATTGGAGGACTGACAAAGTAATTGGCACCCCCAGCACTGGTGAGCATCATCTAATTTGTTGAGGGCCTGAATAGAGCAAGACAGTGGAGGAGGGAAAATTTGCTCTCTGCCCAGTGGCTCTTACTGGGGTGTTTGTCTTCTCCTGCCTCAGACCATACCTTACTAGTCCAGCTTGCAGACTGCAGATCATGGCTTCTTAGCCTTCGTCATCATGTGGGCCCAATACCTTACAATAAAACTCTTTACATATAATATCTCATAAATGTCTCTATCTGACATATAATGTCAAAATATATAACACATCTGTTTAATATATTTATGTATAGAAATATACATATGTCTTCTACTGCTTTGTTTCTCTGGAGAACCCTACTGCCATCTCTGACCAGGGAAGTAGCATGGTCAAAAGCAGCATTGTAGAAAGATTTGATTTTTCTAGGGCAAAGGGACTTGAGAAAACAGACCAGTGACTAGAGTAGACTGTAGGTGAAAAGTGAATATTTATTTGGAGTGAACAGAAAATGTGTACTGACTGTGAGCATTGAGATTGAAAAAGAAGGATAATTAGAAAGATTCAAAAAGAGAAAGAATTTGGTGGCACCAGACAAGCAATCAAAGAGTTATTGATTATTCTTAGATTTTTAAAATTTTCTTCTTCTTCTTCTTCTTATTTTTTTGAGGCAGAGTCTTAAGCTGTCCTGGAGTAGAGTGCTGTGGTGTCAGAGCTCACAGCAACCTCAAACTTTTGGGCTTAAGTGATTTTCTTGCCTCAGTCTTACAAGTAGCTGGGACTACAGGCACTTGCCACAACGCCTGGCTACTTTTGTTGTTGTTGTTGTCATTGTTGTTTTAGTTGGCCTGGCTGGATTCGAACCTGCCAGCCCTGATGTATGACAGCACTATGGGCACTGCCCTATTCTTAGATTTTAATCTGATTGGAACTAAGATGATGTTGTTGAAATGGAATAGTTTGAAAGGAGAAATAAGTAGTGGGAAGACCATAAATTGCAATGGTGTCCTATTTTAATTTCATGTGCATAAATTATAGGGTGGAAGGGGAGGGCATATGGCTCACAAGTCCAGTCTTTTTAATTTCCCTTTGTTTTTCATAATTATTGTATTCTTTTCAGGCCCTATTTTTACCTTTTCTTTCTAGGTTTCTGCTCACTCGAACATCGCTCTTTCTGCGTACAAACTTCTGCTTATAAAATAAGTGCTATTTGGCAATTTGTCCATATTTCCTTAACTTCTGAAAAAAACTCCAATCTTTTATAAAATTGGTCATATTTTGTGACAGTCAAGCACTATATTAAAAAATGGTGACTCTACCAAATGATACATTTTGTTACAGGAACCAACTTGTACAGGGTTTGCTGACTCCATCTGTGTTGCAGGCTTTTGTTGCAGGCTGATACAATTTGTTAAAACCCTTTCAGCAAAGTGCTGTTACAATGACCATCTTCCGGGACCTGGAAATAGCCTTATTATACAGAACTTGATATTATACGCTAATGGCATTTGTTAGAATGGAGTTCTATATGTGTTATTACTTCCGACATCAGCCTGGCGTTTTTAGCCTCCTCACAGCACGCCACTTTGGTAATTATGCTAATGCTCGCTGATTTATGAAGACAACTTCGTAAAGTGCACTTAATTAACTTGGCGATTTTGTAAACAGCTGTACATGTAGGTTCCCCAAATTGTGCGGATATGTCACTCTGACATGTGTAGAGTGTGCCTTCTTAACCTCATCACTTTTTTTTACTAAAGCTTTAAATAGGAAGAAGTGCCAATCTGGCACCTGTTGAAGCAAGAGCTGGAGGGAGATTGTGAGGAATTTCATTTTAACCTATAGGAAGATGAGGACAAGCGGATTCCTCTGGTTTGAGTCTGTCATGCCAGATGAGTTAGGTAGGTTGTTGCCTTTTAAGTCGATATAAAGGAAAATATTAAAGTTTGTTTCCTTAGCAAAGGGCATAATTTTTTCCCAGCATGTTGCTGTGATCTGATTTTTGCCAGTCCATTTGCTAGTCCTGCTAACCAATATTGCTCTTCAGGGGACTGTTCTGATTTCCCATACAGAGGGCTCCATGATCTCTGCTTCTCTTTCGTCCTAGTTGCTGGGTTGATTGGATGACATAGTGATTCATCATCCTCCTTTGAATGGACATCGCCTGATGTTGGACCTATTTTACTAAAATGTCATACCCCCTATATATCAGGGGCAAGATTCACAAACTGGAACCTTTAGCCAATCTTAACAGTGCTATACAAGAAATTATACACAATAAAAATTTAAAAGAAAAGTATGGTGAATCACATCAGAGCCAAGATCACGCTAGTCAAGGAAGGAAAACCATCAGAAACATAAGGGGGGAAAAATCCTACTACATACAATTAGAAGAAATAGCAATTGCACAAAGTTAATGACAGTGGAGAATAGGGAGAGTTTTTAATAATCTTCTTATTACCACTGCATGAAATCACATTCTCAGATAAGTCCTAGAAACTAAGCTAGGGATTTGCCTATGGATTCTCCAGGGTCCTGGCAAGGTCGTTTCCCCTCATTAATTTAAGCTACAATGCTGGGTACAATGTCTTTGGGAACTAGCTAGATTACATTTAAAGATAATCAAACATTTATTGCTTAGCCTTCTCTTTGACTTCGATAGTCAGAATCTCTTCTCCAGCCTCAGCAGAAGGGGCCATGCTGATGATGAGCGACTGACGGGTAGTTCCTCTGGGTAAAACTGACCTTCTCATCGACAGGGGCTGTTCCTGCGTTGGAATAGAACTTGACGTGAGTTTGGAGCTGTCTGCTGGTTCCTCTGCTGGCTCTCTTCCCTTCCCCTTTCCTTCTTCAGTATTTTCCCTTTTATCCTGGAAGATGCAGTTACAAAGAATTGGTATTGAAATAATATTGAAAGACACTGGAGTCTTTTGATTAGTATGCAGTGGCTGAGATCACCACCAAGACAAAGACTGTCCAAATTAAGTGAATGTGGGAATCACGCCTGCCTTGCTTCTGACTATCATTGGACAAAGTTGTCTGGCGTGCTGGAGTATTCAGCTGTTACATCGAGTTGCAGTGTTAGTCCACATTGCATTTCTTTTTGTCCTGGGCAAGGAATTCTCTTCCTACTGGTCCTCGTGCCCTCTGAATTATTAGACTTAGTGCTTAGGACTCTGATTTTGCTTTTAAATACCTATTCATTTTATGGGGGTAATGTTTTAAATATTTAAATAAAAATGTATTAACCGAATGCTGTATAAAAGTGCTATAGAAAATATGGTTTTCCTTCTGCATAAATTCATAAGAGAACCTCAAGGAGAAACTCATCTCTTTCTTAGTGCAATTTTCTCCATTTGTCCCACAGGTGTTTGAAATATCATTTTGAATTTACTGTGTTTAGTACTATCTATAGAAAATTTATAAGGCATGGTGGCACTTGACTGCAGTCCCAGCTACTTGGGAGGCTGAAGGGGGAGGATTGTTTGAGCTCAGGAGCTCGAGGCTACCCTTGGCGACACAGCAAGACCTCACCTCAAATAAATAAATAAATAAAATGGACATAAAAAATTCATAATAAAAAATGCCCTATGCTCTTTAATGGTAATGCTTGGGATCAATTTTAGAGAGACTTGCCTGAGATATTGATGTGCACAGAGAAAGTTGAGGCGCTAACTTAACACATTTACTTATGGATTTCTTTACCGCCATACATTTTTAATGCAAATTACTATTCCTATGCTGATGTATATGAGGCATTTGGTTTATACTGTATCCCTGATTTTCACTACAGGGTTTGTATGTATGGAAAAGAAAGAAGAGGAAAGTTTTAGTCTCTCAAATGTGACTGACTCTGTAGTGTTTGACTTTACTCATTTCCTGAAAGGTCCATAGCTACCCGTTTTTGACAGTTTTAGAGATAGCATAATGACGAGATTCAGATGACCTGAATGCTGTTCTGTTTCCTAGTATAGATTTCCTAGTATAGATTATGAGAATCAAAGAAATCTGGAAACTATAGGAAGAGGAGAAAGCAATAACTTACCCTTTCTTTCCTTTCTTTTCTCCTTCTTTCTTCCTCCCTCCCTCCCTCCCTCTCTCCATTCCTCTCTCTCTTCTTTCCTCTTTATTCAGACTCACACTGTCACTGGGCCTCAGCCTAACTCATAATAACCTCTAACTCCTGGCTCAAGCAATCCTCTTGCCTCAGCTCCTGAGTAGCTGGGACTGCAGGTGTCCATACCATGCTTGGCTAATTTTTCTACTTTTACTAGAGATGGGCGGGGGTGGTGGTGAGATCTTGCTCTTGCTCAGGCTGGGAGCTCACTTGAAGTCCTGACCTCAAGTGATCCTCCTTCCTCAGCCTCACAGAGTAGTAGGATTACAAGTGTTAGCACCCCCCCCCCCAGCCCATTTGAGTTTCTTTACATTGCTGGAAATTAGAAGGTAGCTCAATGTAGGCCTGTAAATCTGAACATCTGAGCAACAGTTTCTGTTCTGTAACTCACTGTGAGTTTATCTAAATTTGTTGATCTGCCTCGCACCTGGTGCTCAGTGGTTAGGGCCACATTACATGCCAGCCACATACACCATGCAGGTGTATTCAGACCCAGCCCGGGCCTGCTAAACAACAATGACAACTGCAACAAAAAATAGCCGGACGCTGTGGCAGGTGCCTGTAGACCCAGCTACTCAGGAGGCTGAGGCAGGAGAATCGCTTCAGCCCAAGAGTTTGAGGTTGCATGAGAAAGGCTTGGATGAAGTTTAAAAGATTATTTGTGGTTTTAAACATTTGCTATATATATTGATTGAATATTTTTAAAAATGTTGTTTACTAGCTTGTTGGTAATGAGTTATATATTTTTTGTGTATATGTATGTCTGTACATACACCATTTTCTCATTACCCATGGCAGTTTTGTTCTGTAATGTTGGCATAAACACTGGATTAGTGGATACTGAACCATTGCTCCCAGGGAAAATACAAGGCGAGTCTCCTACCAGCCTGAGGCTGCAACATTTTTGTTAACCGGTCAATACATAACTTTGTTTCAGTGACCAAAACACTTAAATAAGGTGTATTCTGTTTAGATGCCTGAATAAAGCTAATCTAACACACATATTTTCTCCGTAAGTCACATCATGGCACTTTTGCACTTAGAAACATTAAACTGCACTTGGAGCCATTTTACATTGCAAAACCACCACCAAAAAAAAAAAAAGAAAAAAAATCACAAAATTTAAAATCCACGGCACCCAACAGACTACAAAAGAATCACTTGAGCATAGTTTGAGAGCTGAATGGAGAAAGAGGAGTGTCTCCTGTTCAGCTTCGGCTGGGACCACGGGCCTCAGCAACTTAAATGTTCATGGCTCTGCTCAAGCACCTGCCCAGGGATGTCACAAAAGCATCACGAGGATGGATTTGGAGGTTGTAAACAAATTACAGTCAGTAGGTCAATCCCCAAATACCAAGTCTATGAGTAATGAGGGCTGACTGTTTTTATAAATACATATATGTAAAAGCCATTTATATATGCTTTTAGACATAAAACATGTTGAAGATGTGTGTGCATTGATGTACACAGCTGTGATTTGATAAAAAAGGCATTTATTATAAACATGTACGTGAGGATTAAATGTGATGCCATGTGGGATTCAGTTTAAATAATAAGTGCTATACATAATGCAGTAATTAGCAGTATTAGATTGGCCCCAAATTTCCCAGTGTCTGAAACAGAATTGGAGCTCGTGTGCATACATGAGTCCGGGGATCTCGCCACTGCAGCCTCCATTCACTTTGCTTCATTACCTGAGCTGTCTGTTCTGTCTTCAAATCGAGTAGTTTTGCAAGACTTGCTTTTCCAGCACCTCCCAGCAGAATTTTAAACAATTTAGGTGTCTCTTCTTTTGGTGGGAAGAGAAAGGCAAGTTCTTTCTTTGGAGGGGTCGCCGTCGCGCCCTTATCCTTCTGGGTTAAAAGTACTCTGACAGGAGAGAAAAGCTGTTTTAGGTAGCTCTGTGACAACTGTGGCAAAATCTCCTAACCTGTGAAGTCAGGTGCCCACATTAACACTTGCTTATTAAGGCCAAGTCATGATGAAAGGGGGTCAGAATCATAATAAAAATTCCCCTCATCCTAGATATTACAAAGTAGAATCAACTCTATCCCTCTCTAATAGAGTTTTAAAGGTTGTACCTGGCTTTCTTCATGAGGAGCTTTCCAGAGTCTGGATAATGCCTTAGAATATCTTGGAGAGTTTTTTTTTCGAGAGTTAAAAGATTGGCAAACCCATGGGCCACCACGTCGGCAGTTCGGCGGTTTCCTCCTCCTGCTGCCAGAAGGCTGTAAGAGAAGAAAGCGAGTCTTCGCTATCAGTTTCACTTTCTCTCCACCAAAATCTTTAAAAAAATAATGGCACCTATAAAAACCATTTATACGGCTTCAGAGATTGTTCCCTGGAGGGGAGAGTTCAGGCGACTGCGCAGACAGAGCTAAGATGTGATGGCAATAGAAATGGCCACAGTTTTCAACATGTTTTGTGTAACTCCTGCCTCTCATCAAGGACTTGGGGCTGTCAGTCCCCTGTCTGATTCTTCATTCCAAAAGTGCAGAATCCTTTCGGACTTGCTATCCCTGCTGCTCCTTCAGATCCACGTTTCACCCTCCCTATCCTCGTGGACGCCCCCAGAAACCTGACCTCCTCGGGCTGGCCCTCTGACTTCCATTTGGGGTCAGCCATTAGGAAAATCTTTTTTTTTTTTTTTTTTGAGACAGAGCCTCAAGCTATCCCCCTGGGTAGAGTGCTGTGATGCCACAGCTCACAGCAACCTCCAACTCCTGGGCTCAAGCGAGTCTCCTGCCTCAGCCTCCCAAGTAGCTGAGACCACAGGCGCCCGCCACAACGCCTGGCTATTTTTTGGTTGCAGTCAGCCGTCATTGTTGCTTTAGGAGGGGCTGGGCTGGATTTGAACCTGCCACCTTAGGTGTATGTGGCTGGCTCCTTAGCCACTTAAGCCACAGGCGCTGAACCAGGAAATTCTAAGGGGAAATCAAAAAGCAGAAAAAGAGAGTGGGGTCAGACAGAGCATTTATTTCCCCTCTTCTCTCTCTGCCAGGCTGTAGGTGAGCAGTGACTGCAGTTCTCCAGCAAAATCTACAGCTCCTGGCACTGTGGGATCTTCTACAAGTGCAACTCCCACAGCTCTTTCTGGGTTCTGGTCACCTCTCCTTGTCCCCTGCCGGCCTTGCTGTGGGAATAACTCTTGCTGTTGCTAGATTTGGGATGCATTGCCATCCCTGGTTGGATACTCTTAGACTTCTCACCTCTGTCCGTACTTCTTTCAGCAGTTTTCTCAGCTGCCTTGCTTCAGTGTCTGGGCTCTGACTGATGTAGTTTTCAACATCAAATGTGGGGGCCCGCTCTTAATCACGCCTGGGTTACCTCAGGAGAATACAATTTCTTCTATTAAACTCCCAAATCATCTTGTTTCTCGATATCATAAACCACTCTATGGTACAGTCCTACCTGAACTGTCAGGGAATTCTGGACTCCAGGTCTCTGAGAGTCTCATAGGAGAACATTTTGCATTTGAGAAATAACCAACACATAGTGGAAGAATAAACAAATACAGAAAGGAATAGATAAGTGAACAACATGATATCATATGCCTGTGACCTGGGAAAAGCAGTGCTGGTCTATAAAAACAGGACAAGGAAAAACACATTTCAAATGTGTGTAAAAGACATTATAGGCTCTGTAGTGAGAGGAGAGCACAGTAGATCGAACCCTTGAAGTCAATGGAGAAAGAAGGATCGCATTAATTAACACAATCTCTAGAGGCAGAAAAGACAGAGAAAGCACTTTGACCTTTGGAAACAATGAGGTATGAGGAGCTTCATGGGCCTCATCAGTAGCTGACTATGGCTGAAGAGAGAATCATGGAGCCTGAGTTAAGGCAATGAAAAATTTCTAGACCGAAATGCAGAGGAATAGACAAAATCGAACATAGAAAAACTGTGAACTCAACTGTGTTGAGTGTTGTAACACACATATGAGTGGACTACCAGAAGGAGAAAGAGAACAGAAGATGTGCTTGGAGTAAGAACGGCTGAGGACGTTCCATGGTTAATGTCAGACACCAAACCACCGATCCAGGAAAGGTAGAGAGCAACCAGCAGAATAAATGCCCCCAAATCCTGACTCGGGCATATGATCAGCAACCTGCAGGAAACCAAAGACAAAATCTCGAAAGAATCTAAAGCGGAGAGGGGAACAAACCCCAAGCTATAGAGAAACAAGGATGAGAATTGTAGCAGATTTCTCTTTAGAAACGATGCAAGCAAGAGGGTGGAATAAAATATTTAAAGTATTGCCAGAAAAACTACCAACCAGGTACTCTATATTCAGGGAAATGCTCCTTCAGAAGTAAAAGAGAAACCGAGACTTTCTCAGAAAAACAAATCGAGGCAATCCTTTGCCAGCATATCTGTCCCACAAAAAATGTCAAAAGTTCTATAAGGAGTAGGAAAATCATGTAGACCCAAAACTCAGGTTTATAGAAAGAAAGGAAGAACATTTAAAAAAGAAGTAAATGAAGATAAGGTAAAATGTTTAAAATTTTTAAATTCTTAATTGATCTAAAGTAACAGTTCTTGGATAATAGACTACGGGCTAGTGGAATGATTGACAGCAACGTTGTATGAGCCCGGAGGGAAGAATTAGAACTATTCCTAGGTACCTGTACTACATGTGGCACAGCATTATATGAAGGTTGGTTCAGATCGGCTTAAAATGCATAGTGAAGACTCTAGAGCAATCATTAAATGTTAAAAAATAAGCATATTTGCTATGCTGAGCAAGATGAGAAAACAGAATCATGTAAACGGCTCAATTAAAGCTAGAAAAGGAAGAAGAATTGTTTGAACTTAAGGCCACCCTATTGCATCAAACTTGGCCACTGATTTGTACGTAACATTAAGGGCACCCAAGCACTCTCTAGGTCCTATAACAATGGAATTCTGCTCCTAAGATAGAAAATACTTATTTGGAATCCTTAAATGTTGACCATGTTAATGTCTAATTATTTTGCTTGATAATTTCATATTTCAGTTTTTTCCTAAGGTTGTGTCTTAAAACAAGCTTCACCTTTCCTCGAGGAAAAAAGAGAATGGCCAGTCCTGGTGGCTCCCACCTGTAATCTTAGTACTTTGGAAGGCCAAAGCAGGAGGATTTCTTTAGGCCAGGAGTTCAAGGTCAGAGAAGACAAGAGAAATGAATTTTACCTCATCATCTCTCTACGTATCATTCTGTCTACCTGTCTACCTGTCTCTATCACCTCTTCATTCTCTCATCTACCCCACTTATCTTCCTTCCTATGTATCTTTTTATGAAAAGGATGTGAACATTTGAAGGACAGTGGTTGTGTGTGTTAATTTCATTCACATTCCTGTAGTCATGGACACAGGGTAAACGGTGTGTTAGGCTGGGTTGGCTGGCAGTGGGGAGGTTAATTTGAACCTGCGGTGTCTGTGAATGTATGTCAGACTATGAGAACAGAACGGAAATAACATATTTAAATGTCAGGTTATTTTGAGATTTCTCAAGTTTTAATTAAACTTGCCTACAGGTTACACGTTTGGAGTGCTTGATGAGTTTTTGAACGGAAGAAATAGTCTGTCTGCCAGATGGATTTTGCCCAAACTCTCTCAGCAACGTTTAAAATAGCATCCTTTTTTCCTCTTGTCCACAAAGTGCTTCTCCAGCATTCCACCAATGGAAAGTTTCACTCACTAAAGGGCTTAGTAAGATTCCTAAATATTCCCAGCTCTGCATAGAGTTTCTGAAAGAGCCTCTGCAAGAAAAATGAATAGACGAGGTTAATATTAAGCATCCCCAGGGAAAAAGAGAGTGAAGCAGCAAGGGCCCAGGAAACAAAGGAATTGGTTCTAATGTAGACCCACTTCTATTTGCTGTGACCTTAGACACATACTCAAGGACCTTTTTGATTTCCACTCCAGTAATGCAGGAGTTTATGAACTCTCTACCATGTATTCAGCATAGTGAAGTGAATCAGGGAAAGAGGGGAATTATTAAAGCATAGTATGGTTTTATAAAAAGAACACAGATTTGTGGAACCAGATAATTTTACCATTTATTAAGTATATCTCTGAGCACAGGACTAATCTCTTCTGTAGAAAACAAGGTCATATGTAGTATCTACCTTAGACATCTGAGGCTATCTGTGGGCTCCCGATATTCAATTATGAAGAAGGTACTATTAGGTAAAATTTATAGCTGAGCAGTTTTAAAGCCCGATTTGTGGCATGTAACTGAATAGTAAGCTGCTTGCTTGGTCCTAGTGCGCCAAAGTCGAGTGAGTGAACAAAGCAGCTGTGAGAATGTCACAGAGAGGTGGTATCATTCAGAGACCAGGTGGAGAACCTATATGTGCAAAATTTGGCAAATGTCAGGAACAAATAGCAACATGGAGATTTTATGTATACATAAACACACAGGCATAGTCACATACCTACGTAAGTAACATATGTAGTATGTATATACAGGAGTGTGTGCATATATATATTTTCAAAGACAGAGATGGAATTTTGAGACAGTCAGTCCCTAGTCAATCGTGCATTCTGAGCTTTGTCCAGGCCTGCCACATGTGGCATCACAGACTGTGTGTTGCAAACACAGACTACAATGTGCCTGGGCTTCTTACTCTTTACAGATGCTTTAATATTCATAAAACCATGTGATCGGAGCCCCCGCATGTGCCCTGCACAGCCTGCACAGCCCTTTGAGCAGAGCTACAGTATTTAGAAAGCACTCATATGGAAAAGAAGAGTACCAAAGAGGATGAGTTGAATGTAGCAGCAAAAGAAAAACAAGAATGGAGACATGAGCTGGGCGTGGCGGCTCACGCCTGTGATCCTAGAACTTTGGGAAACTGAGGTAGGTGGATTGCTTGAGCTCAGGAGTTCCAAATCCACCTGAGCAAAAGCAGGACCCCTTCTGTACTAAAAATAGAAAAACTAGCCAGGCATCATGGAAAGTGCCTATGGTCCCAGCTACTTTGGAGACTAAGGTATGAGGATCCCTTTAATTCAAGAGTTTGAAGTTGCTGTGAGCTATGATGCCATGGCAGTCCCCTCAGGGCAACAGAGTGGGACTCTGTGTCCAAAGAAACAAACAAAACAAAACAAAACAAAAAATAAAAAAAAATTGAGAGTTAATGTGAGATTCATAAAAAGTGCTAACTTGGTCAGAGGAGGGCTTCAAATTCAGCTTTAAGACTTTTATATCATACAAATGGGTCAGTGCTTGGTTTTAAGACCAACAG